CATACACAGAAGTACCAGGGGGCAGGGATGGGAGATAGAACAAAGACCATGAAAAGTATTGAGGACAAAGCGGTTATCGAAGCAAGATATCAAACGGAGATGAGACCATCATCGCAAAAAAGTTCTGTCGAGAGTAAACCATGAAACTGAAACACGAGTATCGACTTTGGGTTGAGAGAGAGAACTTGTTTGCACAAGGGAATAGAAAGGAGAGAGAGAGAGAGAGAGAGAGAGAGAGAGAGAGAGAGAGAGAGAGAGAGAGAGAGAGAGAGAGAGAGAGAGAGAGAGAGAGAGAGAGAGAGAGAGAGAGAGAGACAGACAGACAGACAGACAGAGACAGAGTGTGTGTGTTTGGTTTTAGGGAGATTAGAAAGAGTTCAACAGCGAATCAGTTGACGTATTTGATCATGTTAGTCGATCATGTTACATGTAAAAATTCCCTGAGGGGTAGGGAATAGGGTACACAAGTTCATGGAAGCTATATATATATATGTAAGGAAAGGGGGAACCTTTAACAAGGAGATGAAAGAGTGAGGCTTAACTAGGATATGGGGGGCGGGCGCTTAACAAAGAGATTAAGGGGTACTGCTAACATGAAGGTGAGAAGAATGCTTAAAAGATAGGTAAGGGAGACGCTTGACAGGAAAAAGAGTATGCTAAACTGGAAGATAAGAGTCTGGTGTGTGTGTGTGTGTGTGTGTGTGTGTGTGTGTGTGTGTGTGTGTGTGTGTGTGTGTGTGTGTGTGTGTGTGTGTGTGTGTGTGTGTGTGTGTGTAAGCTTAAGATACTTGGAGCTGATGGGAATCTTCTTACACCATCCTTGAATACTTCTTAAGCAACCGAACCTCCCAGGTTGTCACCCAACCAGTAGTCTTCCAGCAAACACACCACACGGAAATATCCGCCCCATGAAGGTAGAGTAATCGAATTACCTTCTGTGGAACGAGCTAGTTCGGTGACATCCTAGGATGCTACTCTCAGAGGCGAGGCGACACGACATTAATCCTAACAATTAAATCATTAAAACTCTAAAAATTCCATACTAATTTGTAATTCCTATCCCACAATCTTATCTTACATCAAGAGACGCAAAAGTGACGTGTCTGGTCAGGGCCTTAATCTACACAAAATTGTATAACCACCCAATTAGCCTCTTTGCAAGTTCTTCCCCTCGTAAATACGCTTGAAAACAAGCTGCGTTTGATACGTGACAACATATAAATATTCCACTCTAACGCACAGAGTTGAACTTCGACGCTTTTAACTCTCGAAATACGCAAAATTACGGAAATTATTTTGACAATAAGCTGCTGGCCATAACATTCTGACACGTCAACAATTCAATAAACATTGCAATAATACGCAAATAAATTCAATAAACATTGCAATAATACGCAAATCAATCCAATAAACATTGCAATAATACGCAAACAAATTCAATAAACATTGCAATAATACGCAAACAAATTCAATAAACATTGCAATAATACGCAAAGAAGTTCAATAAACAGTGCAATAATACGCAAACAAATCCAATAAACTGCAATAATAAGCAAACAAATTCAATAAACATTCAGTATCCATTCACTGCTACAGATAACTGTACACAAAAAAGGACAATTCTAGCTTGCAAACTTCAAAGCAAACTCTAACTAGTAATACGTATCCCAGTGTGTATATACATACACACAGACTACTAAAACGTCTATGTATACCATTCATACAAACCAGTTTGTCACTGTATACCAGCATGCCTGCTCCTGGCTCCCATTTCGCGAAACTGTTTAATTTTTCGTGGAATAATTAATTAATTTTAGAACGAAATAAATCTAAATTAATCAGATGAATTCTGTTCCGCGTGAGCGACCTTGGCGGATCCTGAATTTCCGGTCACGTTTCAACCTGGAGCTCACAATTATCGCGTTTGTGTACAGGGTGCGTTTGTGTCCAGGGTGCGTTTGTGTACAGGGTGCGTTTGTGTACAGGGTGCGTTTGTGTCCAGGGTGCGTTTGTGTTCAGGGGTGTGTTTGTGTACAGGGTGCGTTTGTGTACAGGGTGCGTTTGTGTCCAGGGTGCGTTTGTGTTCAGGGGTGTGTTTGTGTACAGGGTGCGTTTGTGTACAGGGTGCGTTTGTGTACAGGGTGCGTTTGTGTCCAGGGTGCGTTTGTGTACAGGGTGCGTTTGTGTACAGGGTGCGTTTGTGTCCAGGGTGCGTTTGTGTACAGGGTGCGTTTGTGTTCAGGGGTGCGTTTGTGTACAGGGTGCGTTTGTGCACAGGGTGCGTTTGTGTACAGGGTGCGTTTGTGTACAGGGTGCGTTTGTGTACAGGGTGCGTTTGTGTTCAGGGTGTGTTTGTGTACAGGGTGCGTTTGTGTACAGGGTGCGTTTGTGTACAGGGTGCGTTTGTGTACAGGGTGCGTTTGTGTCCAGGGTGCGTTTGTGTACAGGGTGCGTTTGTGTACAGGGTGCGTTTGTGTACAGGGTGCGTTTGTGCACAGGGTGCGTTTGTGTACAGCATGTTTTATTGTTAAGGGCAGCAGGAGTGACGCTCGTTACGATCGAGCAATTATATTGTTTCCCTGTGAGCGCTTCGGAGAGACAATGTCAGCAGTTCCCGCTCAAGCGTAATCCATAATTGTTAAATATTATTTTATAACACCTGTTCCCTCATGTCTATCATGTCTATCCCTCTCCCCTTCACCCCTCTGACCTCAGTCCTCGTGACCTGACCTTCGCCACATTGACCTTAATACCCCCCCCACCCACCCCCTCTTTGACCTTTTCCCTGTTCTTGATTTATCACTGTTTAAGCATCTCAGATCAGTTTGTTTACAAATAAACTCATGTCATGATATTTCTCTTGACTCATGTCAGTCACAGTGTTCCTAATTACCGTCCTTCCTAAGACTTAAAATAGTCTTTTGTCGATCGCCTTAAAATTTTTGGAGTGTTGGACTTGATTTTAAATAACATTTAATTGCGCTGCATTAATTGGTGGACTGATAGAGGGAAATTATGAATTCCGTCTTCCACCAAGTTATCATCATCGAACCAAGAGTGTTTGTGTGTGTGTGTGTGGTTCGTGGTGGTTCGTCTTTACTGATGCAGATTTCTGGCCCCTTTCCTTTGTCGCTAAGTCTCTCTCTCTCTCTCCTCAGGTTGTGCAATTACTTTCCCATGGGACCCAAGACCCTTTGATCCCATGACATCCTTTGGGAGTTCTTTTGAGATTCGCGTTCGTATAGGATTTTATAGATTACCTCCGAATATCCTATTTCCTGCAGGAAATTTGTATCAATCTTATTTTTGGGTTTTTATATATTTAATGCGAGATGAAACGTTTTTAAAGAGTTTGTTTCTTTAAGAGGAAAAATAAATATCTTTCACTTCTAGGGTGTTTCTTACCCTTCTTCACATTCTGTTCCAATGAGCTATTATCCACCATTTGTCTCTTCCTGGTTTATTGTACTTTCGCTCTGTTTATCATTTTTCTATATTTCTTTACCTCGAATTAGGTTGAATTTTTAAGTGATGAAAATTTGTCTTACGTATATTTATTGTACGTTACGTTATAGTTCTTCAGTACCAAGTCAAGAACCTCCTTTCCTTAGTGACTGTCTGATCTGCCTGGCTGTTGTTGGTCCAATTTATCCGGCGACAGCCTGCAGGTGCATGGCGAAGTTCAGCTTCAAAAATGCTAACTCCTTATCCAGCAAATGGTTTTTATTTTTGTTGCGTATCTGATGCTAATACTAACAACGAGCTGGTTCTGATCAGCCCTTGGACTGGTTCTGATCAGCCCTTGGACTGGTTCTGACCAGCCTTTGGACTGGTTCTGACCAGCTCTTAGACTGGTTCTGACCAGCCTTTGGACTGGTTCTGACCAGCCCTTGGACTGGCTCTGACCAGCACTTGGACTGGTTCTGACCAGCCCTTGGACTGGTTCTGACCAGCCCTTGGACTGGTTCTGACCAGCCTTTGGACTGGTTCTTACCAGCCCTTGGACTGGTTCTTACCAGTCCTTGGACTGGTTCTGACCAGCCCTTGGACTGGTTCTGACCAGCCCTTGGACTGGTTCTGACCAGCCTTTGGACTGGTTCTGATCAGCCCTTGGACTGGTTCTGACCAGCCTTTGGACTGGTTCTGATCAGCCTTTGGACTGGTTCTGACCAGCTCTTGGACTGGTTCTTACCAGTCCTTGGACTGGTTCTACACAGTCCCTAGGGAAATTCTGCACAATCTTCGGCCTGATTTTGCACAGAGTTCGGATGGGTTCTGTTCACCCTGCGAGCTAGTCCTGCATATTCCCCGGCCTGTTTCTGCGCAACAAGACTATTACGGTTGGCAATCTTAACTCCGTCCCTTCGACAAGAAAGAATATAAATTTTCCTACGAACCTGGATCTCCTCCTCTCCGCCGACAGGAACACCATCTTGGCTGGTAATATCCGTATGGGTTCCTCTTTCGATAAGATAATTTGATTCGGTACTGTTTAGCTTCTATTAATGTGTGGCAGTGGGGCGATTATTGAATGTTTTTTTTTTGCTACCATTACGTCTAAAATGTCTTTAATGATGAGGTGAAGATGTGCTAAGACATACAACTGAGATGTGTCAAGACATGTAGCTAAGATATGTGCTTTAGAAGCATCTTAAAGTTTGTCTGATAATGTGTCTATGTCTATAGACTTGTATGTATCTAGGAATACATCAGGGATGTATCGTATAATGCAGATGTGTCTAGGAATGTATTCAAGATATGTCTCGCACTGTATTAATGACATTTCTAGGCTATACATCTAAAGATGTTTAGATATTGTCAGAGGTGCATTTTTGTGTTTGATTTACACAACTTCAAGCTTCGCCTCTCACCGTTAGCGTGATTTTAGCGTGATGTTAGCATTCCGTTAGCGTCCTGTAAGCGTGCTGTTAGCATTCCGCTAGCGTGCTGTTACCGGGTTGTTGTATGATTGTTATCATGCCTTTAGTGGTACGGTTAACATGCCGTTAGTGTGGTATTGGCATACCGTTGGTGAGAAGTTATCATGCTGGCTCTCCTCGCAATGTTTGGCTTCATCTCGCGATGCAACTTTAGCATCTCGGTAAGGGCCGAGAAGCTACTCCAGCTTCCCTACTTAAAACTCTCTAAGCTCTGGCAGTCAACTAAGCTTATGTTTGCGGTTTACTAAATGAGATTAATATCGGTTTAGCCCATCGCCAATAGTTCCTAAACTAGATAAAGTATTATGTTAGATAATCCAAGTCATACAATTTGGTATGAAACGGGGGCTATGTTTCGGTCCATTCTAGACCGCTGTCAAGACGTGGACGGACCGAAATGTTATATTTTGGGTCACGTTTCGTATGTGGGGGTAGATGAGGGGGGGGTTGGAACTTGTTTCATTCATGTATTATGACTGATTGTATGCAATAATTTACCCTAAATCAGGTGCAATGTACCTAATCATCGATTTGCCATTTCTTTTGATTAGCAATTCATTTTGATTACCTAATTTTTTTCCCCCTTTAAGCAGAAGTCTAGGATTTTCCTTCGAGTCTATCCACTCTTCCCAGGGCATTTTGTAGGCCTACATTATGTAGGCTTTTTTCTTATGTACAAATTATCCCAGTTATGAATTTTTTCTCTATCACATGAAATTAAGCTTAATGCATATATACATATCACTATAACAATACAAAAATATATGATGATGAGACAATCTTTGGAGCAGGTTGGTTTAATCGAACCAGTACGTGCTGGTCACCTCAGACGCACGCTTTGCCCATCAGTTCGTTCCCACCCAGCAGCTCCCCCAAGACTTTTTTTTATAATAGATGAAATACAGTATTGTCATTTCATTTTAGAATACAATGATGTTTTTTAAAAGTTGCCAAAAAATAGAGATTTAACTTCGTATCATACATAGCAATATTGTTCTAGAGGTATTTTTATTAATTAAATGATGAAAAATGAGAAGTAGAGCAGTATTAATTAAGTAAAAGAGTTAACACAGTACAGGTAATAAAGAAAAATTATTACAACAATGATAAAATCATTGATGTTTGAAATAAAATAAATCATTTTGTTTGATAAAATCATTGAAATCATTCGAACCAGGGTTCGAATCCCCATATTCGAACCATATTCGTGTATTGACGATGTTCTTAGAAGTACTTTTAATGCTAAACTATAAGTGAGAGAAAGGCAATGACATATAAACCAAAATAATAACTAGAAACACTGATTTCAACAGTAGGGTTAGTTAGACAAATTTCTAAAATATTTTTATTATTGGGTAAGTCAGTATGTTGCCTCTCTCTGTCTCTGTCTCTGTCTCTGTCTCTGTCTCTGTCTCTGTCTCTGTCTCTGTCTCTGTCACTGTCTCTGTCTCTGTCTGTCTGTCTGTCTGTCTGTCTGTCTGTCTGTCTGTCTGTCTGTCTGTCTGTCTGTCTGTCTGTCTGTCTGTCTGTCTGTCTGTCTGTCTGTCTGTCTCTCTCTCTCTCTCTCTCTCTCTCTCTCTCTCTCTCTCTCTCTCTCTCTCTCTCTCTCTCTCTCTCTCTCTCTCTCTCTCTCTCTCTCTCTCTCTCTCTCTCTCTCTCTCCTCCTCTCTCTCTCTCCTCTCTCTCTCTCTCTGTGTGATATATATATATATATATATATATATATATATATATATATATATATATATATATATATATATATATATATATATATATATATCTCACAGAGATCTATCCTCTTCCATACCTGCCCCCACCTGCTCCCTACCTAGGGTAGGGAGGGTACAGGGTGAACAGGTGGGGTGTAGATGGTGCCAGAGGTCAATAACCTGTGTGGGTAGGTGGCTACACCTGCCTGTCACTAAACTATATATATATATATATATATATATATATATATATATATATATATATATATATATATATATATATATATATATATATATATATATATATATATATATATATATATATATATATATTGCAGTTGAAGGGAACAGATGAAAGGAAGCAGGTGAATCGAAGGATGAAGATAGGTGCATAAGGGAAGGGGATAAAAGGGAAATGGGGAGTTGAAGGAAAGAGGGTTAAAGGCAGTGGATAGAGAGATGGGACGAGAATAAAAGCAAGAGGTGAAGCAACATGATAAAAATCCAGCCATAGTTGCCCAAGAAAAGGATCTTCACGAAGCTCTCAACGTAGAAATTGGATGCTGTCCTTTCTCTCGCAGCTGGAGACAGGAGACAGCTGGAGACAGCAGACAGCTGGAGACAGCAGACAGCTGGAGACAGGAGACAGCTGGAGACAGGAAATGAAGATTGGGGTACTTCCACGCTTGGTTTCAGAATGAGGTACATTGCTTTTTTATTGGGCCGAGCTGCGGTAATCGTACGGATTCATTTCTCACTGGGATTTTCATCCAATTACCAGAAATGCGGAATAGGTATTACTCTGATCCGTGTAGGAAAGAGAGATATTTATTTTTTAATGATAGAGTAATCATTCAGACAACTTCTCAACCGGCTTGTCATTGATACACGTTCATGACATGTCAAAGCCCTTTTTAAGCCAATATACCAAAGTAATATCTCTTTCGCTCACGTTTTTTTTTGATAGCCAATGACATGATACGTCAAGCTGACACATAATATAAATATCCGTCACCTGACAAATCAATCTGTCAGCAAATGTATCAGTCAATCAATGAGCTTGCTGACGCATCAATTAGTCAGTCCCTTCACAGACTGAAGGGGCATCATTAAGCACATTAACACCAATTTAAACCACATACAATTTGTTTATCTTATATTATAAAAAAATAATGACCATTTACCCCAGGTTATAATATAGAACACGGAATTAACGACTCTATATTAAACTATATACATTTAAAATTATACGTGATGAATCTAACCAGCTATAGTCATTACCCATAGCTATAGGTCTTACCCACAAATATAAGCCTTACCTACAGCTATATACCTTACCCATAACGTTGGTGCATACGACCCGGTTTCATCTATATACATTAAATACATGTCTGACGACCAATTGCGTATAGCGTAATTGGTCGTTTCCCCCGCAATTATTGGCAGGAAGTAGTGATCAATCTCTCGAGCGTTGAGGTTAAAATGTGTTTCATTTTATGTTTTGGCGTTTGGTATCTAGTTCCCTTATTTATGTTTCGTGTAATTGGATACAGGTATATATATATATGAGTATATACAGTACTCTATATACCCATATCATATATATATTTGCATATATATGCCTGAATTGGTGTATAAATTAATTAATATATGCAATCTCCTGTTAGCGGTTGCGTTACTTATCTGTGAGTTGTATTAATGACCAATACATACCAGTATATATATATATATATATATATATATATATATATATATATATATATATATATATATATATATATATATATATATATATATATATAGCTACACTGAACCTAATGACATTGAAAGAAAGAAGAAATATTGGGGATATTAGATAGAGATTTGAGGTTTAGACGAAGCAAATAAGAAACGAGAAGTCTTGTTTCACAGATTGACAGGCAACTGAGCAACACACACACACACACACACACACACACACACACACACACACACACACACACACACACACACACACACACACACACACACACACACACACACACACACACACACACACACACAACTTTACAATGTCGGGAAATCCGACAAAAATCTTAAAAATCCCTCTAAAACGTTACAATTCTAACTCTGTTTTCAGGAAAAAGTGAGGCAAAAAGCTCCGCTCTCACATTCCTGAGCCTGTACAATGTGTCCGAATTTTAGACTGAATCCTAAAAAAAAAAATAACGTAGGAAACTCGCAGGTAGGAGCGAATGGCGTGAAGCCTACTCCCTCACTCCGACACTAAGAGTAACATTCGCCCTTTATACGTGGTGCGTCGACAGGTGGGGAACGGCCGTAAAGTTCGAAGAAGGCACGAAATCATGGACCGAAAAAACAACAAATCGAGCGGTCGGGATCTATCGTTGCTCACACTCTCTTTGATTTTTTTGTGTTAAACAATTTAATAATATTTTTTACAATACGCAATAATTTATTTTGTTGACCAGACCACACACTAAAAGGTGAAGGGACGACGACGTTTCGGTCCATCCTGGACCATTCTCAAGTCGATTGTGAGAATTCTCAAGTCGATTGTGAGAACAACCGACTTGAGAATGGTCCAGGACGGACCGAAACGTCGTCGTCCCTTCACCTTCTTGTGTGTGGTCTGGTCAACATACTTTAGCCCCGTTATTGTGACTCATCGCCTGCACGCAATAATTTATTATTTTCTAAACTTTGCATTAAGAAATTTTTGGGATAGATTTTTCACTAATATTTCAATTTTAATTAACCAATTTTAATTTAATTATTTCAATTATTTAATTAATTAAATAAATTAATTAATTTATTTAATAATTTTAATTATTAAATTAAGAAAATAGGCAGACATTATTATTTCTTGCAAATTCATATCCCATTTGGAAACTGGGTATTTGTTGAAAATTCGCTGGGATTAAAATACAATTTATAAAGAATCTTTGATTAAAAAATCATCAGGTAGATGTAGTTTGTGGAGTGGACTACAAAACTCTTTGTAAATCTCGTAATAAAATATATTATTAAGAAGCTAACCAGAAAATAAAAGGACACGTCAAAAATCATGTACATTATTGATTTATTTTAATGACTCAATCCATCCAGAGTGATTGTCGTTAGTTCTCAAGTTCTAGTAAAGATTTTATCATCATTTTTGCACACAACGAGACCGTCACTAGCGACTTCCCGAAGAACAACACTAAAGTATTCCACATATATAGTGACAAAAGGCGAGAGTAGACATAGCAGAAGCACTTGACAATAAATGCTCTCATTCAGTTATCAATAACCACCATATCCATAAGTTATGGACTTGTTCCACCAACAAGCCCTTTAATGAAATGTTACTTTACCTCACACTCACCCTCTCGGATGACTAATGAGAATGCAGAATCAAAATTCCTCTCAACAAGGTAATCGTATATACCTGTTAGATTGGGCTTCTAATCTCCTATATTTGAGGGCGCACACCTGTGAGCAGGGATTAGGGATATACGACGCCAAGAACATATTTAGTTCAACCATGGCTCCGGTCATGGATATACCTGTGTAGTGTGGAGGCTTCTTGCAAGTCGGCGTTCAATCCCCGACTGTCCAAATGGTTGGGCACCATTCCTTCTCCCCCCCACTCTCCGTCCTATTCTAAATCTATATCGTCATACCTCATCCGGGTTTGGTGCACACGTAATGCCTTAGTGCTCTCTCCTGATAATTACTTTACCTAATTATATAATATAATTACGAGAATTTTACCTCTTAACCATTGCGACCTAGTTGGTATATTCACTAAATAGTTGACAATCTCCAAAGTGCCACGAGATTGTACTTAATCCAAGAATTGTATATCGGGTTAAATCCACCATGAATGAGATATCAGATTCCGAGTCTGTATAAGTGGCTATCGTCAACGCTGATTCCTCGTAGCACCCAATCTTCTACATGGAAATATCTAATCTCCTTTCACTGTGTGACTATAAACAGGTTGGTGAGTTTAACGCGACGTTTATCTCGTTCATAAAACGTTATAAGTTGTGTCTGTTCATGTGTAACGCTCCTTTACCAGAATAGTTCATGAGCTTCTCATTATCATTTAATTGGTAGCTGTCCAAAATTGCAAAAATAATGAATACTGGGACAAATAGTGCAATTAGATACGTGATCAAACACTATTTGTTCTTTCTGTCAAGGTAGCCCCATCATTCAGGCTCATAACTCCTGATTATTCTTCATTTCGAGGGAGGGGAGGGTCGGTTGGGGAGAAAGGGGGAATGCATTTGGCTAGACCAGCACAAAACGCGGGTAGCACCGTGTGTGAGGCTGATGATTTGTTTAGGCCAATACACAGTGGAACGCTATTTCTGACCGATTGTCTAGCCAGATCGACACACAGAGAGATTCCGTGCGTTTGACTCAGGGTTAGATGATTTGGTTATATCAGCACATATTCAGTGGTTCAGTGGCTCGGGGTTTGGCTAGACCAATACAGTACGAGGCTAATGGTTTGGTTAGACCAGTAGGTAGAGTGGGTCGTGGTGTGAGGGGGCAAATGACTTGGGCCTCAGGCAAAGTGGTTGTAAATTAGTCGGTGATGACAAGGTTGTGAGAGATGCAGGACCTCACGATACACGCACACGCACACACACACGCACACAGGCATATACTTACATATACTTACAAGACTTACACGGCAATAATTATACGTGCATACACATGTAAGGTTCACACACACACACACACACACACACACACACACACACACACACACACACACACACACACACACACACACACACACACACACACACACACACACACACACACACACACACACACACACACACACACACACACACACACACACACACACACACACACACACGTGTATACAAGCCGTAAAGAACACCACAGGAATTTTGCAATATTCCTGCAATATAGTCTAGCCATAACGATAGTCTTGGTCTCAGTTTCCCAAATGCTGCAACCCCAGAGACAAAAAAAAACATAAATTGCAAGAAATACCTTTCAACTTGTTCCTGTAAGGGAAGGTAATTATGCAGAGAAAGCACTAAGCCAGCACAACACAATGAAGATATATGAGTAGAAAGAAGCTGGGATATGAGGACAAGGAGCTGGGATATGAGAACAAGGAGCTGGGATATGAGGACAAGGAGCTGGGATATGAGGACAAGGAGCTGGGATATGAGGACAAGGAGCTGGGATATGAGGACAAGGAGCTGGGATATAAGAAAAAGAAGCTGGGATATGAGGACAAGGAGCTGGGATATGAGGACAAGGAGCTGGGATATGAGAACAAGGAGCTGGGATATGAGGACAAGGAGCTGGGATATGAGGACAAGGAGCTGGGATATGAGGACAAGGAGCTGGGATATGAGGACAAAAAGCTGGGATATGAGGACAAGGAGCTGGGATATGATTACAAGGAGCTGGGATATAAGAAAAAGAAGCTGGGATATGAGAACAAGGAGCTGGGATATGAGAACAAGGAGCTGGGATATGAGAACAAGGAGCTGGGATATGAGAACAAGGAGCTGGGATATGATCCCAGCTGGGATCCCTAAACTCTGTGAGGGGAAACAGCTTAACTGATGGCAACTGTATAAACAACTGATGTTGTTTATACAGTTGAGTGCATCTGTTGTTTATACAGTTGAGTGCATCTGTTGTTTATACAGTTGAGTGCATCTGTTGTTTATACAGTTGAGTGCATCTGTTGTTTATACAGTTGAGTGCATCTGTTGTTTATACAGTTGAGTGCATCTGTTCTTGATCACATGCATATGCACATCTGTTGCTAGTAGATATGCACTTTAAATCTTTCGTTAGCATATGTGTACATTCCCATCTCTTGTTAGCATATATGCACATGCACAGCTGTAGTTAATATGTACAATTATATGCATCTGTTGTTAGTATACGCACATGAATTGTAGGTAGTTTATATAGCTGTGTCTAGAGTATCGTCGTACACGTGCATTTGTAGTTTAAGCGCCCATGTGAAGCTATAGTTAGCAAATGTGCATCTTTTGCTATTCATTGTCAGTGCTTGAGTATGTTTCACTGCCTATTTCTAACATGCGTGTGTACTATGCTGTCTCAGTTTAGTAATGTGTATACTACGCTGGCTTACTTCAGTAATGTGTGTATAATACACTGCCTCACTTCAGTATAGTGTATAATATACTGCCCCAGTTAAGTGTAGAGTATATTGTCCGTATACTCTATACAGGTATAGAACATACAGTGACAAGGTCTGAATAATATACTGCTCAAGTTCATTAGTGTATACTAAAATGCCTACTTTTGTAATGTATATTTATATATATATATATCTATATATATAATAATGTATTTATATATATATAACATTAAATATACTATAGATCAACATTAGATCAACATTAAATATATATATATATATATATATATATATATATATATATATATATATATATATATATATATATATATATATATATATATATATATATATATATATATATATATATAATATACTCTCAGTGTAATTTATGTAAATTCGTATGTGCTTTTTTTTTACGAATATGTTTTTTGGGGTAGGTTATCTTGAGATGATTTCGGGGTTTAGCGTCTCCGCGGCCCGGTCCTCGACTAGGCCTCCTTTGCTACACTCCACACCCCCAGGAAGCAGCCCGTAACAGCTGTCTAACTCCCAGGTACCTATTTACTGCTAGGTAACAGGGGCATCAGGGTGAAAGAAACATTTTGTCCATTTGTCTCCGCCTCCACCAGGGATCGAACCCAAAACCTCAGGACTTAGAATCTGAAGCGCTGTCTACCCAGCTGTCAGGCGCCCTACGTATATACTGAACTGCCTCAGTATTAAAGTATACTGCACTGATTCAGTATATTGATTTGTCTACCTAGGTGCCTCGCTCATTCATGGGGGAAACCAATGGTAAAACTATTATTTAATATTTTTAAATAAAACTATTTATTTAATTATTTAATGTTTGTAGCTATTCACTTTGAGGTTCTCGTCAACTGACACAGAGATTCGTGTTAACTTTCACGGATTTCCTCGTCAACTTTCTCTTTGTGGGGCCTTATCAAATTTCTCTTTATGTAGGGGGGGGGCCTTGTTAACATTCTCTTTGTGATGACTTGAAAACTTTCTCTTTGAGGTTCTTGTTATCTTTCACTGAGATCTAAGTAAATTTTCACTAAGATTTTTATCAAGTTCTACCGAGGTCCATGTCAACTTTCATTGATCTCCTCGTGTACTTTCACTGAGGTCCTTCAGAACTTTCTCAAGCTATTCCCGACCACGTTTCGAAACAGGAATGATCAGTATACAAATATTAATCACCTTATGAAGCTCAATCACCTTCCATTGTTGAAACTGAGTAACAACTCATATTCCTTTTACTGACAAGTTTCAAGCGAAAACCCAGAAGAGATTCGAGGCACTTTACTACTTACAAATATCATCGCAAATAAAAATACTGATCGAGTAATAAGGGTGGCATCTCAGAATATTAATAAAATTAAAACAGTATGCACCGAAATACATGTGATTCTAATACTTTTTTGTTTTAACCAAACACACAGCGCTGAGCACTCTAGTTAGACCTTAAACCAAGTCTCAGAAACATATCTTGCTGTAACTCTACCACAGGCCACTTCTCCTTGCAGATAATGGGTCGGAACTAAGATACCGTAGAGATGGCCACATTACCTTAGACACCAGCTTGTTTCTCAAGGGTAAGAAACTTCTTCCGTTATCTTGCGTGAGGCGTCAAGTATCTCAAGCATGTTCTCTATCTTCTTCTCCCCTATATATATATATATATATTTTACTAATCGACTATTTTGCCTGTTGATACGTATTATTCAAACTCCGAGCATGTTGCATTCCTGTCAAGGGGGGAAAATTGTAGAATTTATTATGCATTCTAGCCACTGTGCAAGATTATATGGTGCCGCATGGTGTACATTACACATACAACAAACATATAAGCTCAGAAGGTATTTTGTTTTATCTGCATGCTAGAATTTAAGCATTAGCACATAATGTTAGCTAACTGTGAACATTATTTCCCCCTCCTGTCGTTTTGACAATATACATATACATATATATATATATATATATATATATATATATATATATATATATATATATATATATATATTATATGTATTTTTTTAATATAAAAGGGGTACCACCTCTGGTGCAAGTATAGGAACCCATAGCCTCGGAGAAGAAAATAAAGAGTACTCAGAGAAGTGTTCAGTGAGAATCCACAAGGTCTTCTCTGAATACTCTTAATTTTCTTCCCCGAGGCTGTGGGTCCTTACACTTCCACCAAGATTGTGTGTGTGGACTATTCGATCGGACACACTTAAACGGAATTCGATCGAATATGGGATCATACTACAGAGTTTCCGTTGATTGAAGTCACTTAAAACACACGAAATTGTTGGTCTAGGGCGACCCCGGGGGCTCAGGTCTTCGTATATCCACACTAACTCACAGATGAAGGAATACTGTGAGGAACCGAAGGTGGATCGACACTTGTTGCAAAGATCCTCATCCAGATATAGTGAGGGGGCGAAAGGGTGAGGATTGTGAGTGTTGGTAAGTGCGTGAGTAGCGAGGAACCTCCTTAACTTGGCTTAGGCTGGTTGAGGATTGTGTTTATAGTGAAACTTGCGTGCATGGCTAAGAACTTCACCGATGGTAATGTGGTGGATAATGTGCAGTCTGGCTTGTGCTTAGCGAAGATGGTGGCCAGTGGAAATGTGTTCATATCGCCATTATGGGTAATGAATGCTGTGCAGCTCTCTCTCTCTCTGTGTGTGTGTATGTCTCTGTCTCTGTCTCTGTCTGTCTCTCTCTCTCTCTCTCTTTCTCTCTCTCTCTCTCTCCTCTCTCTCTCTCTCTCTCTCTCTCCTCTCTCTCTCCTCTCTCTCTCTCTCCCTCGATCTCTCTTTTGCGCTATCTCTTTTGCGCTCTCTCTCCTCTCTCTCCTCTCTCTCTCTTTCTCTCTCTCTTAGTCCCTTTCGGCCCTCTCTCCAGTTTCATTTCAACTCGTCTCCTCTCCCTCTCTCTCCTCTCTTCTCTCTCTCTCTCTCTCTCTCTCTCTCTCCTCCTCTCTCTCTTCTCTCTCTTCTCTCTCTCTCTCTTCTCTCTCTCTTCTCTCTCCTCTCTCTCCCCTCTCAAATCTCAAATCTGAAATCATGACATGCAGTGTAGGGAAAACGCTCCCTTCTACATCTACTTCTACCTTCCTACTGCAAAGGAAACCCCTACAGATTTCTTACCTTGAAAGATCCTTGGGAATAAGGAACTGAAGGTAAGATGACTCTCTCTCTCTCTGGTCTTCAGGTTCAATTAGGGTCTCGTCACAGTCCTCGAACACACACACTCACAAGTTAAAGGTAATGAGGATAAATTCAGTAATGAGAGAACTCGTTAAAAAAAGACAGCTTGTTGGGGGAGAAAGATTGAAGCATGCGATAACGAGAAGAACCCGAGAAAAGACTCGATATCTAGACCCAGACCTGACATGGGCCAACGCCCAAATACCCTTCACAAATTTGCCCAATTGGAGCACATACGTATATACATACAAATATGTATTTACATATATATATTCATCCTGTGAAAGACCTACTCTTGGGCATCCCTCACCTGAATGTATAACCCTCACCTATAAAACTAGAAAAGGTCCAAAAACAAACGACAGAATTGGTTCCTGAGCTGAGGGGCATGAGCTACGAGGAAAAGACTGTGGGACCTGGATCTCACCCCTCTGCAAGAAGAAGAGAAATATGGGAGGACATAAACGTGACATACATGATTCCAACGTGAATTGAAAAAGTTGAGAGAAATATGGACTTTTCTTTTTAACAACAGTACAAGAGGACATAGATGGAAACTAGTAACGATTGAGTCACAGAGATGTCAGAAGAACTTCTTCTGGTTTAGAGTTGTCAATAACGGGAATGAGTTAGACGAAGAAATGTTTGAAATGTTCGAAATGGTGTCTAACTCAATATTCAAGTTTAGATGTATGTACGACAAGAAAAGAAACGGAATTTAGACATTACGTTAAACTATGTTTCAGAGGCGGGGCTAGAAGCCGATGCACACACACACACACACACACACACACACACACACACACACACACACACACACACACACACACACACACACACACACACACACACACACACACACACACACACAAGGGGAAGCGGTCAATGATACAACAGCAATGTTTATGTTGATTTTATGTGAGAGAATTGGAAGAAGCCATCTTCCAGTATTGAGCACTCAAGTGCTTCCTGTCACTCAGTGCTCAAGTGCTTCCTGTCACTCAGCGCTCAAGTGCTTCCTGTCACTCAGCACTCAAGTGTCTAAACATCAGTCAACATACAAGTGTGAGCTGTTACTCACGGCTTATTGTGCTTCCTGTCACTCATCTACTCATGGTGCCTGGTGTCACTCATCACTCAAAGCATAAACTGTCACTCAGCACTTCACAGAAATGATAAAATATCCGACTAATAAATTTCCGGAACAGCATACATGGCTACCTAATTTGCATAAATAATAATTATTATTATTTATTATTAATTACAGAAGAGAATTAAATTGTGTGAACGTTTGTGGTTTGTGAGTAAAAGTACGAGAGGCGTGAGAGTGGTGGGCGTTTGTGAGTTTCGTGGTGATGGGGGGAGTGTGTTGGTTAGGTTATTGGCGTAATGTGTGATTGGGAAGTGATTCGAGGTCTTAGATGGAAAAAATGGGTAATAGGAGAAAAAGGGGAATGATTCGAGGTCTTAGATGGATAAAATGGTTAGTGATTCGATGGAGAAAATCTTTAGGAATACCTGGAGTTGTTGGGTTAGTGGAATGTCTGAAGCATGTTAGATATTAATTTAAGGACTGAAGAAAAGAAACGGAGGTAGGTTAGATAAATGGTTTACAAGCATCTAGATAAACACTAGTGAGATAATTACCAGGAGAAAGCCTCGAACCCTATAACACTTGGAAGGGGGACATGAGAACAGAATGATGCAACCACTGCCCCTCCCAACACGTCGACCATCGGGGGATCGAACGCCGACCGGCAAGAAGTGGTAGCGACGTCGCTGCATAGATCAGTCCAAGAGGATGATCAAGAGAGTAAGTAAGAGTTTACAAAGCGCCAGTGCTTAGCTTGGATATTAAAACGAGGGAAGCATTAGAAACTGAGAACAAAAAGTGATGAGACACAGAAATATGAAATTTACAGAAAGTACACCGAATTTGTCTAAGACAAATAAGAATACGAAATCTCTGTGAGATGAGAGACAAATGAAGAGGTAAGAGTTGCATTGAGAAAGCGAGTGAGAGATTAAGATTGCTGGTCCATAAGTGAGGGAGTGAGAGATTAAGATTGCTGGTCCATAAGTGAGGGAGTGAGAGATTAAGATTGCTGGTCCATAAGTGAGGGAGTGAGAGATTAAGATTGCTGGTCCATAAGTGAGGGAGTGAGAGATTAAGATTGCTGGTCCATAAGTGAGGGAGTGAGAGATTAAGATTGCTGGTTCATAAGTGAGGGAGTGAGAGATGAGAGAGATAGGAATGCTGATCCACGAATGAGAGAGTCAAAGAGCGGTAGTGATGCTTGTCCACGAGAGAGGATGTGGGAGATGAGAGTGGTAGGAATGCTGGCGCATGAGTGAGAAATGAGATTGGTAGAGAAGCTTTCTCATGAGTGAGAGATGAGATTGGTAGAGAAGCTGTCTCATGAGTGAGAGATGAGATTAGTAGGGATGCTGGCCCATCAGTGAGAGATGAGATTGGTAGAGAAGCTGTCTCATGAGTGAGAGATGAGATTAGTAGGGATGCTGGCCCATCAGTGAGAGATGAGATTGGTAGAGAAGCTGTCTCATGAGTGAGAGATGAGATTGGTAGGGATGCTGGCCCATCAGTGAGAGATGAGATTGGTAGAGAAGCTGTCTCATGAGTGAGAGATGAGATTGGTAGGGATGCTGGCTCATGAGTGAGCGTGTGAGATAGGAGAACCTAGGTGAGGCAGGATAATGGAGCCTAATTACCCCGGCAGATCCCTGACCATCGCTTACGCTTAAGGTGCAGTGTGAGAGGGGCCACTTCATCAACTGCTAATTATCTCTCTCACAAATTGCCGCCTAATTACCAAGCTCTATGATTAAATCCCTCATTAAAGCTTTAAACTTAAACTGGGTCAGCGCCGGGATGAAAGACGATACTGACAATAGTCAACTGTATTTGCTCCACTCTACAACTCAACTGAGTCAACTCTACAACAATTGAGTCAACTCTATTGACTCAAAGCTTACTATTGACTCAAAGCTTTTGCTCAGAATCAGCACTTGAACCGTGACTCGGTATCTGACAGCAGAAAATTTTAGATAACTTATCTAAAACTGCACATTACAACATTTTGTGCCTCAAGGAATTAAGCTTTTCGTAGCGTAAATCCCAATCTTTTCTTCGGCTCGGAAGGACAGAAATACAGAAACGGCTGAAATATCATACACAGAACACGTATGTAGAAGTGAAATACAGTTGCACTGAATTCTAACAGTTGGTTTCAAAATTAGATTAGTGGTGTGTATAATGGGATGAGAAGTGTGTGTGTGTGTATGATCACTACACGTGACTTGAGATAGAAAGCAAATTCTAAATAATACTTAGGAGTGTCCAGAGTATTATTTGGCGTTTA